GGCCGGGGGTGGGGAGAGGGACAACGGCCAGCCCGCCTCCCCCCGGGGGCGCGGGACTCACAGGGTCATTCTCTTGCTCCACTTCACCTCCACGGCCTCCAGCTGGCCCCAGAAGAAACGGTCGTTGAACTGCACAAACAGGGCCTGCAAATCCGGGGTGGGATCCACCAACTCCCAGGAGTCGTCCACCAGTGACAGGGGCTCCTGGGCCCGTTCGCGCGCCGAGATCAAGTTCCACTCCTCCTGAAGCCGCAGTGCCAAAACCAGGTCCTCGTCCATCGTCAGGCTCGCCCCCGGGCGCGACCGCGACTACGCGGCACGAAGGCTCCGGCGGCCGGCTGGAGCTCCGAGGAGATACCGGCTGTTGGTCCGCTCTCGGCTCAGCCCGTGGCTCTCGCGAGAGCTCAGGGCAAACCGGCTCGTGAACGAGACCCGAGCCTGCCCCAAACACCGAAGCCAAGTTCTGAGGCTTAAGAACAAGAACTCAGCATGACAGGTCCTAGGGGGCTCCAAGCCTGGGTCCCCGGAATTCGGGCCGGAGGAAGGTTTCAGGAAGCTGTTACCCACCTTCACGACACACCCACAACCTCAAACACAACGTCACGTTAGGCGCGTGCGCACTACCTACATTGCGATGGGTCTCGCCCCCCACTCACTTCCGCGGTAGCTTCTCCGGCGCAAGCGCTCTAGGCTGCTGGCGTCCCTGCGCAGGCGCACTGCCTGCATTCCGGCCCTCGCGCAGGCGCAATAGCTAATGCTCGGACTCCGGCGCAGGCGTACTCCTCTGCCTTCCACTCCTGCTTCCTCAGCCCTGGAGCTCCGCGGGGCTTGGGTGGGCCCGGACCGCGGCGGCACCGGCGGCGAGAGTGACAGTGACGGCGTGAGACCCGGAGGGAAAGGGCGATGGCGATGTCGGACAGTGGGGCGAGCCGCCTGCGGCGGCAGCTGGAGTCGGGGAGCTTTGAGGCGCGGCTGTACGTGAAGCAGCTCTCGCAGCAGTCGGACGGGGACCGGGACCTGCAGGAGCACCGGCAGCGGATCCAGGCGCTGGCGGAGGAGACGGCGCAGAACCTGAAGCGCAACGTCTACCAGAACTACCGGCAGTTCATAGAGACGGCGCGGGAGATCTCCTACCTGGAGAGCGAGATGTATCAGCTCAGCCATTTGCTGACGGAGCAGAAGAGCAGCCTGGAGAGCATCCCGCTC